CGCCTAGGCTGAGGACTACATAACAAAACCTTCTCCACTTACAAAGGGGATTAGGTAAACTTAAGTGGACAAAATCGTTCAAGGTATAATACCTGGTGAAGGTAGATGGCGATGACCAGCTGGCAGCCACACAGATATCACCAATAGAAATCAACATACACTCTATGGGCCCGAACCGGGCAGAGTGGTTTAGGAGTCAGGACCCTTCTCATCCTCTGAATTGGGAAGAGCTAGAAGGGTGATGACTTCTGCTCTGAACGCAGTGGAGAGGGCAGCCTTAAGCGACAGGGGCCGCAAGTCGCCCGACTGGAGCGGCTCGAAGGAGGACTACAGATAAGTCCCAAGTCAGCACAGTATGAGGACGAGGCGGATTCAGTCTCTGAGCTCCCCTCAGAAACTTAACGACAAGGTCGTTTCTGCCGATTGACTGGCCAGCCACGAGAGAGTGATTCGCCGTGATGGCTGCCACATATACTTCGAGCGCCCCTTGTCCAGTAGCTATTGTAAAAAGGTTAGCATATGGGATGCGTCACAAGAGGACGGGTCCACGTTCTGTGCTGCACACCAGTCAGAAAATTCTGACCATTTAAGAGCATAGAGGCGTCTTGTAGACGGGACTCTAGCCTCCAAAATGGTATGTCACACTCGTGTGGAACTGTAAAGACTCCCAGCAAGGGGCCAACATAAAGGCTCCACAGCTCTGGCTGGGGATGCCAAATCATGCCCCTCGTTTGCGAGAGAATGCCCTTCCTCAGTCGTATCGGCCAGAAGGCTGCCGATAGCAGCTGAATGACGGGCGATAAAAGTTAGTAAAAGTTGTCTTCCGAGGCGAAGAAATCCACCCCTTCCCTCCCGGAGACAGACTAGATCTTTTGAACCGTTTGGGGGAAGTAGTCTCCATTCTCCTGGAGCTACATTGCCCCCGGACAGCATGTTTGCCTGGCACATGAACTGCAGTTCGCCTGTGCCCATAAAAGGAGGCATCGAGCCAACCTGTGAAGGGAGCATGACCTGAGACTGCCTAGGTGATTTGGTGACTTATATAGCAGTCGGCTCCACCCCTTTTGGCAGGTTGACGTACCATTGGTTTGTGCAGCTACACGAACGTGATCAAATCAGGCTTCAGTATCAGAGAGAATGTTTACATGGACATCAGTTATCTAATTATTTACTTTATTCTGAATAAAACAATATTATAATTAAGGTGTTTACATAAGTTGCTTTTAGAATATTCCTTTCATGTTCCCGTTTTACATGTGATAGTACATAGAACGATTAATGGCACACGTCATTACATTCCCACGTGACACCATCCGACGTTCCCTCCAGAATTTCACGCATCAACATACAGTTCGTCTTCAGTACTATACAGTTTTGGGTGTTTCATTTTTAATTTTACGAAAGCTTCAAGTGCAGTTAATTATATGTCATGCTATATGTGCAAACAGACGACGACGGATAAAAATGTGCCTTCTTTCTTGAAGCCATGCTCTTTTGTTTGCCGTCAAACGGTTGACCACTGTCTTGTGTGTATCCAGCCACAAAATGTGGCAAAAAGTCCTACACGATGTTAGTGGTGTGATTAAGGTGTGTACATGTCTATACTGGCCTTCAATAATGCGACTAAAATAGAAATACTCCACGTCTTAATTCGATTTGTGTTTACTTCGAGTATGACTTTAGCCGGATTAAAGTAATAAAAAATCTGTTTACATGGTAGATTCTTAATTAGAGTATTGTCTTAATTGTGTTAATATCGGAATATTGTTGTCCATGTAAACATACTCAGAGTAAACAGGAGTTTCCCCATAAGTGTCAGTGATGCAACGGGGGAGACCGTTCAAAAGGGAACTTTATTCCGCTTATAGAAGAGAAGGATTATTTTGATTGAGTGGTAGGTTATTTAAACTTATCTATATACTGACACGTTTATTACAGCTTTTTTTTTTAAACCTATTTAAAGAGAGTGATAAAACAGGGTGTGTAAAGTACAAACTTCCTTTAACTCCACAGCTACACAGACTTATTTCATCACACCTGCCCATGCAAATGCATCGAGTCACAAAAAACCAAAACAAATGTTTTTTTTCTTTGCATGCATTTCTTAAAACACATTTTGTTCTTCTGATTGTGAACATCAGATACCTTTTTGTTCCCTACCATCCAACATTGAATATACAATTGCAATGATACAAAGAATATTTAAATAATGTACAGTACTACAATAAAGAAAAAGAGATTGTGTCCAGTATAATCACTGGCTGTCCAATGGTTGCACAAACCTAAATAAAAAGCCAATTATAAAGTGCATCTGAAGTTCTCCACATGACGACATCGAGAACCACCATTAACTAGCTATGAAAACAATTCATTTCAAACTCGTTGAATAACAGAGTATTGAACGGGTGGCAAGCAGCAGCATTCTCTTCCTGTTTCTATGATCCAGAGCAGTCTTGGTCCATGCAACAACAAAAAAAACAGTAATTTAATAATCTAAAAAGCATCATCAGTTAGGAATCCTACACAAAACAACACTAAAGAAGATTCACACTTAGGACACAATGAGCAAGTTTTCCACTTCCTAAAGCAATGTCAACATCCCTATAGTCTTGAAGATCAGATTTGGCAGCTCCAAACAGAACCCCCCCCCCCCAAAAATGTAATTTGGTTCATGAAAATGTTCTGCTCAGGTGCTTCATTCCTTCAAAGCATCAGAAGCGGTTCTGTCCAACAGTGAGGCGTATTGTCTGAATGTGGACAGATCTGGTGTTTTATCTATTGATGGAGTTGTAGGACACTTGACAGCTGGGATCCAGAGGCTTAATTGAGGCCTTCTCAGCCTCAGGTGATTCATCATCAGGCTCTTGTTCTATTATTGGTTCTTTATCCTCATCTTCCTCCTCGTAGCTTGGCAGCTGGAAGAAAGCAGTCCAGCCGTGCACATCTGCAAGCTTGTGGAAAGTACGAAGGACCAGGAACATGATCATCAATCCCACAAACAGGTAGACTGTAAGAGAAAAGAACGAGAACTCATGTAACCAAACAATTCAGACAACAATTTCAGGTACAATTACAAGCGGAAATATTTCAGAGCGTTGAAGAACAGAAAAAAAAAAAAAAATTGTAATACAATATATATCTAGTAAAATCTGTATATGCATGTATATATATGTGTGTGTGTATGTATGTATGTGTATATGGATTTTACCATCGAATGTGAAACATTACATGGGATTCTGACATCAACACCTAAAACTGCATAAAAAAAAAAATAATAATTGGCTGCTGCTTTGTAGACATTTCATATTTTTATACAACAGTGCACGACGTCATAAAACTATGAATTACATAACAGTAAAAAGTGGGCACTCCATGACTGTTTCGGTCAAAAAAGACCTTCATAACTTCAGCTCTAATCCTCTAATCTAAAAAGAGATGAAAATTACTGTACAGGTCATGCTGACACCAGAAGCTGATAAAATGTAAAAATATTTTGTTATTTATATAAAAATAAATACATAAATATATTATAAATATTAAATATAGTTCATTTTATTTTGTTTTTAAATTTTATGCCATGCATGACATTTTCTGAGGTCCTCAGAGATCTTTGTTCGTGCCATGATACAGTTCCACAAACATGATCAGACTTTAATAGATCCCTGATCTTTAAATAAAACAGGGCACACACTGACACCTGATAGTCATCTCAGTGATTAAAAACACCTCCGAACAGATGGACTCTAGCTTCACCTTCAAATTAACTGCTAATCCTAGAGATTCACATACTTTAGCCTCTCACAGATATGCAATATTAGATAATTTTCCTGAATAAATAAATGACAAAGTATATATTTTCAAATCTTTTTTTTGATTGGGTTCTCTTTGTCAACTTTCAGGACTTGTGTGAAAATCTGATGATGTTTTGGGTTATATTTATGCAGAAAAATCGAAAATTCTAAAGGGTTCACAAGCTTTCAAGCAGCACTGTATATATGTTTTTAATTTATTAGCTTCTAGAGTACATATAAGCAAATACTCTCTAAAAGAAACCAGCATTACTGAAATTGGAAAGTCACTTATTTTACCCATGACTGAAATCTTGTACAAAGCTCTTAGTCTCTGTCCTGGCTTTTCTGCTGGCACAAAGTCCCCCAGTCCTATAGTGCAGAGTGAGATGAAACAAAAGTAGAAGGAGTCTAAGAAAGACCAGGTTTCTTCTATGGTACTGAACACCAGCGCAGGCACCACAAAGAAGCAGAGCACCACCAGGACCAGCAGTACGATAAAGTGCACCACACTGGCGGTGCGTTGCTGCAGGCCTGCCCTCCGCTGGCACATGGAGATCGGCCCGTAGGTCAGAGGATGCATGAAGCGCTGGACACAGGCTGTGAGCACTAGCATGGTGAAGGGCACTCCAATCAAAGCATACACGATGGCGAAAGCTTTACCCACATCAGAGAGCGGCGTAGTGTGGCCGTATCCTGGAAGAGAAGAAAAGAAGAAGATAATGCTTGGAGAGGAGTGGTTCTAACAGAAAAAACACTTCAAGCCAAATTTATTTGTAAAGCGCTTTTCACAATGCATATTATTATGTCTATAATGCCTTTGTGCTTTACCACAGAGCAAGTTTTACGGCTGAGTGATAAGACAATATAGAACAAGTGATTTAGCTCTAGCTATATTGTATTTATAGTGTTGTCTAGCACATATATCAGTGCTGCAGTGACTCGTCCACACGTCTGAACATTCAGCTTTAATTAAGAGATTGAGGGTATGTTTACATGACACCGATTGTACTAAAAACGTTTTCCTTAGCGTTTTTGAAAAATTTAGCATACAAATAACAACGTTGTAAAAATTACGGCAGTTCACATAGATCACGAAAATGACTAAAAATGTAGTTTTATTCATGCCAGGCCAGTAGTTGGCGATGTCACTTTGCAAAGAAACACTACGCACCTGTGCAGTGTGCACATACTCATTCCTAGTATAGACTGAGCATGTAATATGCATGTGCATGACATCACCATTTCACAAATTTGCGTTTTCGTAGTTGACACGAAGATTATAATGGAATCGTTTTCAAAAACTTGCCCTTTGAAACCCATTTTCAAAAGTTTGTATAGTCAGGCTCTCAAAACACAGTTGTCGTGTAAATTAAAGGCCGATAAAGGCACCTAAAGGTTTCCATTTTCAGTTAGTTTTCTGTGTAAACGCCCCTTAAATAATGGTCAGTATTGTTCTATTAAGAGATTTCATTGTTGGTCAGTTTTGTTCCAAGCGATTCTCAAAATGTATTAATATTGTTGCAAAAAGTCTTAAAAGTCTAATGCTCACATCTGACCCTTCAAAAGTACACACTTAAAAATAAATGTTTTGTTCTAATTGAGACTAGACTATTCTCAAAAAGCAATGAAGATTCGATCAGTTGTCTTAAAGGGATGGCTCACCCAAAAATTTAAATTACCCCATAATTTACTCACCCTCAAGCCATCCTAGGCTTATAGACGGTATATAGTAAATAGACGGATGCAGTGTTGGGGGTAACGCATTACAAGTAACGTGAGTTACGTAATCAGATTACTTTTTTCAAGTAACTAGTAAAGTAACGCATTACTTTTTAATTTACAAGAAAATATCTGAGTTACTTTTTCAAATAAGTAATGCTAGTTACTTTTTTCCCCCACATTATTTGATTGAAAGCTCTCCTGTGCCCTAGTTGAGAGAAATCGGGAGTAAGATGTTACTTTAGTTCTAGAATAAATGTGAACATGCATTAATTCATCTCACTCACAAAAACAAATCAGATTTAGTTTTCCTCAAAATTAATAAAAACAGTTAAACGCAACTCAGAATATGACTGCAATAATGAAATATGTTAAATAATACAAATATCCTTTATGTATTTAATCCCATTTTATTAACCAATTTGCTGCTGACCTTCAGTGATCCAATTCAACCATACTAATAAGCAAAAATTAACATTTCTTTTTTTTTTATTGCTGAAGAGTGTTGAACTTTCTTCTTCTTTGTTCTACTGTACAGACGAGAATTTACATTTCCTTCAGCCTGAGGCTTTTGGTGTGAAAGGGCTTTTACATTTGCCAAAAATAGAACTTTTTATATTTTCAAGTAACTAGTAAAGTAACGCATTACTTTTTAATTTACAAGAAAATATCTGAGTTACTTTTTCAAATAAGTAATGCTAGTTACTTTTTTCCCCCACATTATTTGATTGAAAGCTCTCCTGTGCCCTAGTTGAGAGAAATCGGGAGTAAGATGTTACTTTAGTTCTAGAATAAATGTGAACATGCATTAATTCATCTCACTCACAAAAACAAATCAGATTTAGTTTTCCTCAAAATTAATAAAAACAGTTAAACGCAACTCAGAATATGACTGCAATAATGAAATATGTTAAATAATACAAATATCCTTTATGTATTTAATCCCATTTTATTAACCAATTTGCTGCTGACCTTCAGTGATCCAATTCAACCATACTAATAAGCAAAAATTAACATTTCTTTTTTTTTTATTGCTGAAGAGTGTTGAACTTTCTTCTTCTTTGTTCTACTGTACAGACGAGAATTTACATTTCCTTCAGCCTGAGGCTTTTGGTGTGAAAGGGCTTTTACATTTGCCAAAAATATAACTTTTTATATTCAAAGCAAGCAAGCAAGCCCAGCCCAGATTTAAAAAGTAACGCAAAAGTAACGTAACGCATTACTTTCAATAAAAAGTAACCAAGTAACGTAATTAGTTACTTTTTTAGGAAGTAACGCAATATTGCAATTCATTACTTTTAAAAGTAACTTTCCCCAACACTGGACGGATGCAATCAGAGTTATTTAAAAACGCTCTTCTTATAATGGCAGTGAATGGGGGTCGTGATATTGAAGCCCAAAAAAGTGCATCCATCCATCATAAAAGTGCTCCACACGGCTCCGGGGGGTTAATGAAGGCCTTCTGAAGTGAAGCGATGCATTAGTGTAAGAAAAATATCCATATTTAAAACTTTCGAAAATGTAATCTCTTAATGTAAAACAACTTTGGACCCAACTGACTTTCAGTGTATGGATTGAAAAACAAAACGGAGACATTTTTCTAAATATCTTTTGTGTGTCGTACAGATTTGGAACGACATGAGGGTGAGTAAATGACGACAGAATCTTTATTTTTGGGTGAAATAACCCTTCATCTTAATTGCTAATCATACAATGCACATGATTTCCTGAGTGCATAAAGCTTTTAGTGTAATGTAATACAGAGAAGGGTTCAGCTACACAGGTTAACATGCTCAATGAAAGGAAAGCTTTATACAGACACACAGGTCAAAGGATTGATTTCCCATGATACTGTTTGCAGGACCTAAACTGAGAAGTCCAGTTAAAGCAAACAAAGCTTGCACTATGCCTAAACTTAGAAGAGTGACTCATATGTGGGTTTGACAAAAACAAACATTTCATCAAATAACCTTAACATAACTTTTAAGGATAATGTGCATACACTAAACATGGAACTGCGGTCACTCATGCACACTACAATTTGAATGTTACAGTACACATTTGCATTGTACGCAAAAAAAAAATTATTTCTCCATCTATGACAAGGACAAACTTATTTCTCAAAAAGAAAGTCATTTATAGCCTTACAATATAATTAAGAGGTCTTTGTTCAAACTACTGCTAGGTGCAGATGACAGCTACAATTAAAATGGATTTAAAACATATGGTAGTTATTCTAATTAAACACCTCACAAGTACATGAAAAGTATTTAAGCTATGTATACACTGCACTCCAAATACTACACTATAGCTTAATTTCCATTCCCAGACTAATCATGTGCATTGATCTAACCAGAGCTGACCTTAAATATGTAATTAAATCAGTAATATTTAAAACAAAATCTACAACTACTGGATATTATATACTATAGGATAACTAGGAGTTGTCACTTTTGTGTTTTTGGACAAAGTTCCTGCTCTTTGTAAGGCATGGATGCAATATATCAATTCCATAAATATTTATCACATTGATCAAGTTGATAAATGGAAATTAGGTTTGTTAAGTACAAAGCACTACAATCATTCAACACTGGACTTGGTTCCAATGCTCCTTTGTTATGGGAAACAAAAAATACTGAATTACTTCTCATTTGAAACCATACTCCACTTGCTATCATTTACAGGTGATTTCTGTAAAGATGCACATGTTTAAATGTAATTAAAGGGGTGAATTTGATATATTTTCACAACTAACATGATTGAAGAGGATTCAATATTTGATCTGCATAACAATGTGATAACTAACATTGGAGAGCCAAGAACAATTAATTCAATTGATTGAAATACTAACTTAAAATCTTTAAGTAAATATTATAGGTCAAAGGAGTTCAGCTGACAAATAGCTTTGAGAATCCCTGAACTAAGGTATTGGTGTGCTGTCAGAAATTAGGTTATTAATCCATTTTATTTTAATGAACGGTCTAGTTTTTAGTATACACGTGAAAATATGCATCTTGTAGGAAAAAGTCCAACACGAAGATGAATCAAAACGTTTGGAAGAATACCGTTTCCCAAAATGTCCATATTGTTTAACATCCTGTTAATCTTGCCATTGTGCAAATAAAGGTATACGTGATACGTGCCTAGGCATATTACTGGAACACTGCTATATTCTTTTATAGAAAAAATGATATGCATTTATTTAGTGAGTTAGTGAAATTTAAAAGCACTGCAGCAGAAATAAACGCTCCACTCTTTACGGTTTACACTTGCTTACAGTAGTTTGTTCAGTTCTGGCGAACTTTGTTTTGCAGCACTTGTGACGTTTGTAATGTTCTCTGAGATGAACTAATTGTAGTATTCTACACTCGCTTCAGATAAAATGGACTACTAATGTTAAAACTGCCCGACATGAGCAGCATCAAACAAACATCCGTTCAACTTAGTTCCTGTGAAACTCACCCACTGTCGTGACCATCGTGTTTGCAAAGAACAGAGAAGACGCCAAATCCCAGTTTGTACGGACTGTGGCATTTTCAAGGACCGACACGCCGTATTTATTCGCTTGCAAAACTTTTTCCAAGAAAGTTTCGAGAGCCGTGGCGTTGATGCAGCTCAGGTTGAGTAACTCGGCTTTCAGTGAGTTCAGGTCTGATTTCAGGGTCTCTTCGACGGGCCGCTCGATGGCAGAGAAAACAAGCGCTCCCAACAGCAAATACGTGATGTACGCCAATATGAAGCCGATGAGCACAAAGCAAGACCTGAACGCCGTGGACATGATGAGATTTGCGAGGAACCCTATGACAGCGATTCTTAATTTGCTGCAGTGATGTATGTTCGACTCATTGAACTCCACCCTCTGACAAATGTTGGCCACGGTGGCCAGGAAATAACCCGAGTCCTCAGTCACATGGGTGATACTTTGAGTTGTGTGTGGGGTTTGTAAGGTGCAGCACAACTTTTTCGTTCCTCATATGAGCGCTTTCATTTACACTTAACTGAGAAATGCATTATACCTATAGTGCAATTACTATCAAGAGCTCTCAGCGTATGTGCCAGAGTCTTAAAGGTGTAGGCCTACTCTGTCCTTAAAAGATGCACTTACAGGAAATAATAGTGTTTTGGGGATATATCATTAAAGGTCCCATATTGTCAAAACTGAAATTTCCTGACTTTTTTTCACGATAACTGAGGTCTAGGGGCTATTTAACTACCATATAAGTTTCAAAACAGTCAGTCCACAGTAAAATGCACACAGCCTGCATAAAGTAGCTGTGATTTTTCACGAGCCTGTGTGGCAGAGTGGACGCGTGCTGATTGGGGCGCAGACCATGTTTTCACCAGCTGCTCATGTACGTCGGGGAAGAAGGGGACCGACGCCCTCGAGTCAGCTTTCCGGGTGGACCTGGAGTCGAGCTTACTCCTGGCAGGCTCTGGTATATCGTGTAACACTAGTTGGAACTTTTTTTGCTTTTTACATTAAGACACAAAATCCAGTTATAAAAACATTTTATTATAATTTTTTTTTAATGTGCTATTTCAGTGATACCATGGACCATTTTTGGTTCCCCAAAGAACCTTTCAGTGAACAGTTTTTAAAAGAACTATTTCTTTTTAAATTGTGTAAACGAAAATATTAGACCCTTATCGGTTAGTAAACACTGTGACGTTTTTTTTTATGGTGGAGACAGAAAGATTCCCCTGACCGGTTCACTAACGCTAAGCAAGTTTTGTTTCCTTGTTTTTTAACAATGACATGGAGAAAATTCGATTTTATCTGAATATGTAATGTCACTCACTGTCTGGGATCGTGATTGTTATTTGAAAATGTTAACTTTAACAGAAGGAAACAGATTGGCAGACTCGTACACACTCAATCAATGGATGGACGATCTAACAGGAGTGGCCTGACACACCTCCCAGATGGGGAAACTGACTGTGTATAGTAAATAGAAACTGAGGCCATGTAAATCTTTAGATGCCTATAACAGTGGCAATTGTAAGCAAATGCAACTACTTGAACACACACCTGACACATAACATGGGCTTTCACTGTTCCCTCTCTCTACTATTGCACTTAAAGCGAGACGACACAAACAATTTCCTTTATGTTTAGTCTAAATGTTTAGTTAAATGATTAAATGTAAATGTCTCTGGTCGTTAGTTAACTTCTGATTAGATGGGCATGAATGAGAACTCTTTAGACTCGTAACCAAACCTTAATCCATAAAAGACAACAGTTTATTTAACCTTAACTGATAAGAAGTGTGCGCTGCAAACGCGAGCATTTTTGACGATCGTTTCTGTCCAGTCTGCTCGTTTTATCGCGTTTAACCACAGCTGTCGTTGTTTTTTTTGTCTGGCAGTGGCAGCAGATATGCGATCAAATTTCTAATTTGAGGCTGTATTACGTCGATTCTGGCACCCAACATCACAACAAGATGATATTTTAAGCTCCTTATGTAGCCGAATCTGCGCTGGTTTGAATGGGCCGCCTCCAGTTTCCCCTTTGTTTTGCTGCCTCCAGCTCGCGCTGTGACGTCGGCTGACCCTAGTTACCTGTGGTTGGCCTGGCCGTGCATCGCTCAGAAAACAACAGGCCAATCAGAAGAGAGGCTCATGAATATTAATTAGACAGACCAAAATCAACCTGTTCTCAGCAGAGCTCCTGAGAAAGGAGCTGTAAAAATATATTTAGATGATTTTTGGTACTTATACCGCAAATATATATTCTTAAGGACATCAAGACTTAAAATAAAACTCCAGAAAGGCGTAAAATATGTGACCTTTAAATGATGTACACTCACATGAGATGAAGACTCGGTCACTTGAGTCTTTAGATAAAGCTGTTTTGTTACAGTCGCCCCTTCATGGGCTCCACCATGTTGCATGGAAGCCAGATTTTGCGAAGGAAATAAATAAATAATAGATAGTTGTGTCTTTGTTTTTGTCAATTCAAAGAAAAAGTCGGAATTGCGAGATTCGCAAATCTGAGAAATCAGAATTCGAACTCAAAATTCTGACATTTTTTCTCACAGTTCCGAATTTACATATCACAGTTTTGACTTTTTTTCTGAATACTTTGTTTTTACTCCACTAGTTTTACACTTAAGCTGTACATGCTTATTCATGTGCCATACTGTATGAACTGATGCAGTGGTTTGGGTTAATTTGCATATATATTACAGTAATATGGTGCACTTTTTTGCAGTCACGGCTACACTTAGTTCAGACCAATAAATAAAAAATGTAAATCGCATGATGACCCAGCTTGTCAAAATAGTCTAGATTGTGTCCCAAATTACCCTCATTCCCTCACTTAGTTTGTATTTTCTGGTGAAATACAAAATAACACAGAACTCGTGATGGAGTCTGTTGTGAAGATGAAGTGAGGGAGAGAGTCACATGTCGCTGAGGGGATAGAAATAGCTGCAGTCTCTGTCAGAACAGTTTATTCCTTTTCTCTTCATATTGTCCACTCTAAGTAAACAGTCCTCACTGCCATATACACTCATGATGAGGGTGTGTGAGGACAGCAGTGGGAACAGCTGGAGACAGTGAACTGTTATCTTGGTAAACAAGCAGCCAAGTCACTCAGATTAGGCAAAGTTAACCAGTTCATTGCCAAAGTTTCCTCTTGATGTCCTCAAGTGTTTGGCATAACTGGAACTAAATAAAGCTTGTGTGCTTTTATTATGCAATATTAAAAATATCTAGCCTATTAGATATGTGCACTTCAGTGGTGTACAGTGTTTTTTTAATCAAATGTAAATTCATGTCCCAGTCAAATTTTCTTGGTTAAATAAACATTACTTACATTATCAGGAATAAAACAACAATTCTATTTTATATTTTTACATTAACAATGTAATCAATATTCTATTTATTAAAGGGGTCATATGATGCTGCTAAAAAATAACATTATTTGGTGTATTTGGTGTAATGAAATGTGTTTATGCGGTTTAAGGTTCAAAAAACACATTATTTTCCACATACTGTACATTATTGTTTCTCCTCTATGCCCCGCCTTTTTGAAACGCGTCGATTTTTACAAAGCTCATCGTTCTGAAAAAGCGAGGTGTGCTCTGATTGGCCAACTATCCAGTGCGTTGTGATTGGCCGAATACCTCAAGCGTGTGACGGAAATGTTACGCCCCTCACCATACTGTTGATGCCGTGTCCGGCCGGAGCGACGAGACGAAAACATTAAAACCCATTATAAACGAGGCATTTGTTGTACTTCCTCAGCGACCAGCACGGATCAGCTCCAGGCGTGACGAAGCGGATATCGTCCTCTTTTGGAAGGCCAAACAAAGTAGTTTCGCTTTCACAACGAAGCACACAGCGCCTTCACGACATGGCTGCAGATTTTACATTTATTCCAAAATAATAACTCATGGCAGTAACAATTCATACAATATATTTTATTTGTGAACTTACGTTCAGCTATACTTTTTAATAGTTAACTTTTAACTATTTTAGATTTTTTTTTTCTGATCATCAGTCATCAAAGCTCTATTGGTCACAGACATGAAGATTTACTTTACATTTCACCAAGCTGATTACTCACTAAAAACTCACACAGATCATGTTTTCAGGCCATTTTCAGTCTTATTTTGACGTAACAAAGTGGTTATATCTAAGTGTGTGAGTATTGGTGAAGGACTACAAACACGAATAAAACGCGTTAAAAACTACAAACATGGTGGATGTGAGCGACCATCGGTTAGGTAGAGAGGCTTAGAAAAAGGGGTTTGAGTTACTAATATTCAACATTTAACCTGGTAAAAAATATTTATTTAATGTTATCTGTGTTATATTTCATCTGCAACAGCAATGTAAACTTTTATAAACAGCCATTTGGTCGTTAACTTATAAATGCATCATTATGCATAAAATATGAGCAGAGTTCTTGCATGAAAGTCCCGCGACTGGCAGATCAATGTGCTACTTCTTTTCTCTCCAATACGGTAGGAAGTTAAATGAAATGCAATGTGGAGGATGTTGACTGTGACAAGATGATTGACAGGCCAGTTTACAGTGACAGGGTGCATGTATCTATGCGACAGAGCGTCCTTTAAAGACGCAGTTGTGTGACGTGATAGTATGTCCCAAAGCTTGCCTACTCTTCTACTACACACTCAAAAGTGTGTACTTTTTCTTCACCAAAAGAGTACATACTTTAACGGCGTAGTATAAGTAGGCACATTGAGAAGCAGCATCAGACTGATTCGCGAATGCGCACAAACACAAGAGCTGGGATTTATCGCATGAACCAATCACAGCCGAACATAACCAGTCATATCCAATCATATCCGATGGAGGCATTGCCTCCTCTCACGTGACTTTCCCCCATTTATTCTCAATTACCCCCCACCAAAGTTGCAGCATGCTTTAGGGCGAGCCCGGTGTAGTGCCGAAATTTCCACCCTGCCAGATTATGCACCCCCAAGTATCGGTAGGTTTAGGAGTAGGTGTGGGGGAGGGGTTAGGATTAGGGGTGGGGTTGGGATTAGGCAATCAGGTAGCGACTTCAACGAGGGGGCGCATAATCTGGCAGGGGTGCAGAATTCGGCACAACACTGGTCTCATGAAAGTGCGTATAAATAGTACGCCAAATAAAAACGAGAACTCGTGGTATTGATAAGCAAAAATGGACTTTGGCGTGCATATAATATGCAGTTTTCGTGTGCATATGATACGAAATTTGTTGGCCTGCATATGATAAGCAGTTTTCGCATACATATGATATGCATCTACCCCACAACCCTAATCCCCTACCCATCACATAGCATATACAATCCAAAGTTAATTTTTGCGTATCAATACCACGAGTTTTCGTTTTTATTTGGCATACTATTTATACGCACTTTCATGAGATGGGGTTGTTAGGGCAGGGGTGTCAAACTCAATTCCTGGAGGGCCGAAGCCCTGCAGAGTTTTGTTCCAACACACATACCATGAAGTTATCAAATTAGCCTGAAGGATTTGATTACTTGGACCAGGTGTATTTAATTAGGGTTGAATCTA